TACGATCTACGATCTGATTAATCTATTGTATCTATCCAACTATCTATCTATCTATTGTATCTATTGTATCTATCTATCTATCTATCTATCTATCTATCTATTATATCTATTGTATCTATCTATCTATCTATCTATCTATCTATCCATCCATCTATCTATCTATCTATCTATTGTATCTATTATATCTACCCATCTATCTATCTATCTATCTACCTATCTATTGTATCTATTGTATCTATTGTATCTATCTATTGTATCTGCTTACAGATAATCCAACCTCTATTCAACTATTATATAAAAGGCAGTGTTGTTGTTATAATCGTTATCGTTATCGTTATCGTTATTGTTGTTCTATAGTACATTAGGCAGGGCTATAACTATGTAATCCCTCTACTACCTTATAGCAGGTAGACTACCTACAACTACCTAGTTTGTTGTCTAATATACAAGGAAAGGTAGTACTAGATCAGCCTTGCCTAGATCCTTAAGTTAATGCCTAATAAAGAAAAGGAATCACTTGCCTTAAAAGGTAACTACTATAAACTAAATGATCTAGTAGATCCTCTTATTAACTCGGCAAAACTTATGTATCTTAAAAGTCTGTCTCTTCTTACTATTACCTACCGAGCTTACTATACTCTAATACTACTGTATTTTATCCTACTATAAGAACTGTACAATATTTTAAATACTGTAGTCCTACTCGAATACTTGTTAGAGTAGCTAGCTAAAGAGAGAGGTAGAGGGTATAGTCGAAAGTATTAGATCTTTTTTGACTTAGAGTATGTTAGTAACCCGTTATGTAATCTTATATCCTTTAAGCGTAATGTGTACCTGTATATACTTATTGTCCTTCTATACCTTAATGCCGCCTGTATTACCGCCTGTATTATTATTATTATTAGTATTAGTAGCATCTATAATATATCGCTCTAAGAGTAGGACAAAGCTACGTATTAGACTTAGGCAGCTAGCTTTAATTATCTTTAATAGCCCTAATAGTTCTAGAAAAGCCTTTGCCTATCCGCCTATAAAGCTAAGTCAAAGTAATTAAGAGATGTTATCCTTTAAGAACAGGTATACTATTAGATTTAAGGGTACTACTACGTTAGCCTATTACTTTTATTTTCTAACAATATATTAGTACTACTATTAATATATTAAGGGACTTACGTATATATAAGCTCCTTACTAAGTACATTATAATTTATTACATACCTATATTTAAATACGTTGTCTATAAGATAAAGGCTAACGTAGACATTTAGCAGACATCTTAGTTTATCTTATTTTAAGAGCACAGGTCTTTACTTAATAGGTTTTAACCTAAGTAATGACTTTAGTCTTAATCCTAAGTACTCTCTCTACCTGTAGAATACCTCTTATCTATTAACATAACTAACTCTACTAGCTCTACTATATTAGCGTCTACTGTATTAGTGTTAATAAGATATAACTAACTAGAGTACTCGACGTCTTTATCTGTATCTACTGTATTAGCGTCTACTGTATTAGCGTCTACTGTATTAGCGTCTTGTAGGCGTTAATAAGATATATAACTAACTAGAGTAGTGCTTAGCGTTAGAGTCTACTATATCTGTCGTATCTACTATATTAGCGTCTACTATATTAGTATTAATAGGATATATAACTAACTAGAGTACTCGGCGTCTTTATCTATATCTACTGTATCTATTATATCTACTGTATTAGCGTCTATTGTGTTAGCGTTAATAGGATGTATAACTAACTAGAGTACTCGGCGTCTTTATCTGTATCTACTATATCTGTCGTATCTACTGTATTAGCGTCTACTATATTAGCGTTAATAAGATATATAACTAACTAGAGTACTCGGCGTCTTTATCTGTATCTACTATATCTACTTTACTACTGTCCTTATCCTTACTAACATCCTCTTTATCCTCTTGATCCTCTTTACCCTCTTTACCCTCTAATTAGCTAGAAAAGACTTTGCTAACCTCTCTATCTTCTGTAGGCACTACAGGTGCCTTTAAGTTAGTATCCTTTATAGTATTAATTAAGAGTAATAGACAACGACGACAATTCTAGAATATAGTAAATACTTCTTTAGTAGATAGTGGTTCCTTAAGATAAAAGCTAGTATTAGTAATCAATAATATAATGCTATATAGTAACGTTAGAAGTACCTACTCTAAAGGCCTGTCTTCTTTAATACGTAAGAGGGATTAAAGAAATAGCTGTCTGTACTAACTAGTACGTCTATAGTATTATAGAATAAGGGGAAGGAGAAGTATAGTACGCCTTGTTTTAGATAGTAACTAGGAGAAAAGGTGTAGTATAGACTAGATACAAGGCTACCTTAGAGGAAATAAGAACACTTATATAGCCTTAATAAAGGCAGTTCGACTATTAATTAATAGTATATTGTTTAAGAGAATACTAAACACTACTCGGCTAATTCTACGCTATTTAGAATAAGGGATATTATATCTACGACTAAGGATAAGATCAAGCGTTAGTGTAATAGATATAATACTTACGTGCCTTTCTATAGTATCTTAAGTAAGGTTTAAACCTAACTTAAGATTATCTTAAGTAAGTAAAACTAAGTTAAGCCTAGTTTAAGCCTAGTTTAAAACTACTTAGAACTTAGCTTTAGGTTTTAGGTTTAAGGTTTAAGGCTTAAGTTTAAGGCTTAAAGGTTAGGCTTAAGGTTTAAGGCTTAAGTTTAAGGCTTAGGTTTAAGGTTTATACTTAGAACTTATACTACTACTACTATATAGTATTATTCTAAAATCACGTGATTTTATATTACATAACTAAGCTAATAGAGTTAGCTTTGTTTACATGTAAACAAACGCTCTCTACCTTTACGAATCCCTTCTATAGCCAGCCCTCTATAGCCCTCGACAGCCCTCTATTCTTAACAGCCCTCTGTACCTTCGCGAATACCCTCGACAGCCCTCTGTTCTCGACAGCCCTCTGTTCTCGACAGCCCTCTGTGCCTTTACAAATACCCTCGACAGCCCTCTGTTCTTAACAGCCCTCTGTTCTCGACAGCCCTCTATGCCTTTGCGAATACCCTTGACAGCCCTCTGTTCTCGACAGCCCTCTGTTCTCGACAGCCCTCTGTTCTCGACAGCCCTCTGTACCTTCGCGAATACCCTTGACAGCCCTCT